ATGCTGATATGAACATGAATGTACAAAGCCTTTTAAATTAATTCTTCCCTTTATCAAAGGTCTCCAAATTTCTTCCTGTTAGATTTTTGCTGGAATTTTTGTCCTTCTTTCTTCTTTCTTCTCAATTCTGCATAGCTTTTTACTGCACTCACACTATCAAGGAGGAAAAGAATTAACAAAGACTCAGTGGTCAGGAGGTTTAGCTAGGCTGAAAAGACTCTAAGGGTCAGAGTAAACTAGGGGTCTCAAAATTAAGGAATTTGGTGTGTCAAATAAGCTAATATAATTTCAGCTATTTTATGGAAGCTACAGTCCCAGAAACTTAGTGACAATTTTTTATGAAATTTTTATAAACTTTTAGACTATAATATGGATGAATTTTTGTGTTAGGGATGCCACTTGTAGGTCATCTGTAAATATCAGATACTTGTGGAAATAAAACTTAGAAATAGTTTTGGCTATGAAAATAAAGATGAACATTACATACAATATTTAAGTCCATGAACATAGTTAAGCAACTGCAATATTTTAGATGCTGAATAAATTAAGAGCAGCTACCTATTAATACATATTTTAAATGTTCTGCCATGTATCTATATACATGGTGAACATGATCACACTGATTTCCCCACAGAAGGTCTAGACTTAGAGAGATTACATATCCTACTATGTGGTCCATATGAGAATTAAGACAACCTACAAAGATGGGCCCCCTAAGAATTAAAATTGTCTGATTCTCATGTGGATGCTCTTACCACTATAGCATCAATCAGAAAGCATCACAAAGGTTAGAAAATCCCAGGTAAACAGACGAGAAAAGTCTTAGCATTCTGGGATGGAGAGGGAGACCCTTTCTGAAATTTTGCATTTTAACCTTTGAGTCCATGTAACTAATATTAAAAATATGTGTATTTCACTTCAAAAATAATCTTAAAATTCGTATTTATACTTGCAAATTGACATGTGATAAAGTTGCCATATCATATGTTAGACATAGTTCATTTGCGAAGGACAATGGAACACCATCCTCACCTGTTTCATATACAATATATTGTAACAGAGGGAATGGCCTCAAAAAGGGTAAAAATGTTGTATATCTCTTTAAAATTTGCCACTCTTTTGGGGAATTAAAACCTTCATCCCTGCCTCAGGCCAGTAGTTGGGAGGAGTAGGGGAGTATCCTTTGTTCTTTATACCATAGGAGATGGCTCAGTGGAACTGTCTAAGGGGAACTGATGGGCAGAGGTCCAGCTATCCAGGGCAGGATAGAGATGGGATGGATCAGAATAATTAATTCCACACCCTGGAGCTGAAAATCTTCTGTTTAGAAGCTCTGTATTTCTACTTACAACTAGGAAATTTGGTACTTTAAGATGGGAGTTGGACATTTTCCTCATTTCCTGGCAAATTAATCAATTCATCCTTCCTTTTCTTCAACCACTTCTCCTTCTGATGTGGCCTCAGGGGCAAGTGCTGAGCTTTCAGTAACTATGCTATTCCTCAGTTACTTAGCATGAGAATAAGATCCCTGAACACAATTAATAGCATAATATGTGAATAGGAAAGACAATGAAAGTTACAATAAAATATTCAATTTAGATTTTTCAAAGATCTGTAATTATAATCTTTTAAAAGTCATTCTATTTCCTTCATTATAATATTAAACTCCATCTTCAAAACATAGTTTTAAATTTTTCGAAAAATCAGTAAAGCCTTTTTATTCTCCATGCTTTTTAATATACCCTAATTTGTGTGACTGCGCATCTAGATGAAGTTTCATATACCTTTTTATAAAAATTGTATGTGAGAAAAACTTAAATTGATATTTCTGTAAAGAGTTGGATCTGAGATCAAGGTGGACTCAGAAGAATCTTTCTAATGGGCTTAATTTTGGCAATTCAGTGAAGAGCTGACGCCATCGTTACTGGTGCCACTCCTGGAAGAAAATAGTATGAAAATAATCTGAATCCCAGAAGAAGAGGGAATGCTCCTGGAAAGCTAATGGGTTTTAAAAGCTTCATCTTATTCATCTAGTGAGAACCCTGATGGACAACATTAAGCTCCCAGAAAGATGAAAAGTGCTCTCTGAGCACTTATTATTATTAAGCTTCTCACAGTGAATTGAGGTTTCTTGATCAGAAAAGTGCTGAGGAAAATCTCACCCGTGTTGAGTAGTAAAAACCAGCAATAGCAATTGGAATATGATGCATCAGCAAAGTAGAAAAAAGATTGTTTTAAAGAGTCTTCATAGGAATAATAAGATGGGAGAAAAGATGGGTTTTTTTCTACTTGGTTGAGATGAGGATAGGATTCTTAAAAATTACTCAACTAATCCCAAATAACAACTGTAATTGTGCTATTTGTAGCTGTTGTTGGTACAACATATTGTCCTAAGTCAAATTAGATCTTCTACCAGAAGAAAAGTCCCTTCTCTGTCAACTTATATTCTGAAGCTTTAGAAGAAAGAATATTTGCTTTCATGAAAACCCTATCAGTAAGTATTCTTTACTGGTTTAGGGTAAGGAGGTTCCTCATCCAAGGGAAGTATAATGACTTTTGTAGCTTAAACCAGCCAGAGCACTGGAGAGTCTCTGGAAGGGAAGGGATAGTCACTGATGCAGACATGGCCTCTTGCCCAGGGCTTTAACATGCCCACCTGAGAGAATTACCATCACAAATTCTGGGCCTGGCTCTCCCTAACTCCTTTAAACTACCAGCCCCAGATGATTAAATCCTTTTTCTTGATTTTCCAAAGCTTAGTTGAAGCAATTTAACTTTTCACAAAAAATAATACTTAAAATGGCTTTAAAAGGCATATTTACAACTTTATGTGAAATATTTCTATGCAAGTTCAAGGTTGGCATGACCAGCATAGACTCTTCCCTTGGATCCCTGACTCTTTTACTATTCCTTACTTATGTCTCATTGTTTTGCCAGTGTATGTGATTGTTTATGTATTTCCACTTTATCCTTTCCTAGAGGAAATGGTAATCCTCCCAAAGAAAAGGGAACCCTGTGGTAGGCATGAGCTCTCCCACTGAGACCTCCCTTCTAGGGAACCCCTGCCTGCCTCTAGCTGCCATACCTCTGGGATTCTGGGCAGCATTCATATCAAGACTGTGCTCTTCCTGGATGCTCTTGGTTTCACTCAGGTACTAGAGTTGGGCTCTTTCTGCCCAATAACATAGCCCAGTAATGGTCAGTCTTTATTCTGAGCTCCACACTGGCCTATACAAGACTTTCTCAGAGCTTCTCTGTAGTGCAAAGCTCTTCCTACATGACCATCCTTCTTTCCTTCTATTTTGCTCTATAGGACACAGACCTCACCATGGAAGAGAGAAATTATTATAGTAAGGGCTCAGAAAGAATTAATTAGCATGATAGTGAAAGATTTCGTACACTTAGAAAATATATATGTCATCATAAATGGAAAGTCCCATCATTGTACTTTGAAAGCAGATAATTATTTTTCTAGTTCTTTGGTGCACAGATGAAGAGCAAGTTACCCCTAGAAGGGACAATACTCAGTCTCATCAGTATCAAATTGAGATGATGAGATTAAAACTTTTGAGTTAATATTTAGATTAGATTTTCAACTTAGAGTTGTTGATGTAACAGATTATAAATTTTCATGGTGTTGGATTGGGTGAACAAATTTCCATATACAATAGACATGAATTTGGGGGATCAGAGGGTACAATTTAGTAGTTTGAATAGCATTCGTCAAATTCATATCTACTCAGAACCTCAAGATGTGACCTCATTTGTGTCTTTGTAGATGTAATTAGTTAAAAAATCTTGAGATAAAAATCATGCTTGATTTAGGACAGGCTTTAAATCCAATGACTGTTGTCTTTAAGAAGAGGAAAGGAGACAGAGGATGCATAGTAGAAGGCAAAGTGAAAATGAAGGAAGAAATTGGAGTAATAAACTTACAAATAAAGAAACACCATGAATTACTGGAAACTACCAGAAGTTAGGAGAGAGAATGGGATAGTATCTTCCTCAGAGTCTTGAGGATGCTTAATTTTGGATGTATGACTCCTTGATCTGTAAAAGAATAAATTTCTATTGTTTTAAGCCACACAATTTGTGGCAATTTGTTATGGAAGCCCTGGGAAACTAATACAAATAAGAAGGAAAAAATAAAAAAAAAGAAACAAAGAACAAATGCAATAATCAAGAAATAGTTACAAATGTAGCAGATACATGTATCAGTACAAACGATCAATAATCACTTCAAATATGAGTTATCTAAATGTACCATGAAGATATTATAGTGATAATCAGAGTGGGTTTAAAAATAACAAAATGCAACTGTAGGTTGTCTGTAAGAATCCCATTTTAAATAGAAAGGCTTAGATAGGTTTTTTAGTAAAGGAATGAGGAAGGATATACCATGTTAACACTAATTCAAAGAAAGCAGCAGTAGTTATATTAATTTTGTACAAAGTAGAATTCAGAACAAGGAAAACTAATTAACAAGAATAAAGAGAGTATTACATAATGATAAAAGGGTCAATTCTCAAAGAAGACTTAATAATCCTTAATATATATGCCTTTAACAACAGAGTATCAAAAATGATAAAACTGAAAAGAGAAATAGACAAATATGTTACTCTAGCTGGGTACCTCAAAATCCCTCTTTTAGAAACTGATATATCATGCTGGCATGAAATCAGTAAGCATATAATTGAACTGAAAAGCATTATCAATCAACTTGTTCTAATTGACAATTTTAGAATTCTCCATCAAATACTGGCAGAATATATATTCTTCTCAAGCTCACATGGCATATTCACCAAGATCTGGGCTGTAAAATACAACATACCAATTCTTTTTTTTTTTTTTTTTTTGCTTGCTTGAAAACATTTAATCAACTACAGAAATTTCTAAGTACCAAAGGCACCATCTGGAGGGAAAAGAAAACAACCCCTTTGGTGCTGGTTCATGAAAACATGTATTAGATTAACTTTGAGGCTTTATAGCCCGTGTTTGGTGGAGAACAGAGTGATGCTATGAATGTGGTGATTTCTTCAGATAGTTCCTTCATATTGAGTTCAATTACTTCAGATGCCTTGCTGGTAGTCCACATCCTTCCACGTCCCATATTAGTTTATCTCCAAATCTGCTATCCGTTGCTCGGACAAGCTGTCATCACTCGAATCACTGTATCTATCACTGGCAGAGAGTTTGCATCCCTGCTGCATGAAGGCATTCAGGTTCCCGGTAGCTGTAAGCAACAGCCCCAAGTATAGAGGAGAAGATTTCAATGGGCTTGGAGAGAACTCCGGATGGAACTGGACACCAAGAAAATAGGGATGATTCGCCAGTTCAATGATTTTCATCCTCTCCCCATCCACATTCTGACCAACAATATGTAAGTCACTATGCTCGAATTGGTTGATCATATTAGGGTTCACCTCATACCGATGTCTGTGTCTTTCTTCTATAAAGGGAACATCACCATAAATTTTCCTTAATAATGAATTTTCAGTTCTGAAAACAGTTTTTCTCATTCCTAGCCTCATTGGTCCTCCCAAATTGCCAGGGCTGTATTCAGGCATATCAATCACCAAAGGAACTGAAGTATTTGGCTCAAATTCTGTGGAATGAGCATCTTTCATTTTAAGGCAGTTTCTTGCAAACTCTATCACTGCTAGCTGCATCCCAGGGCAAATTCCCAGAAAAGGAATCTTCTTAGTCCTTGCCCAAGAAATCACCTGGAGTTTTCCCAATGTTCCTCTGATTCCAAAGCCTCCGGGCACAAGAACACCATCAGTTTTGCATAGCTTCTGCCAAGCTTCGTGGAATTTCACAGAGTTCTCAGATTCAGTGATTGGCTCCAGATCAATGGAGTCTATGTACATCAGATTCAACTTGTAGTTGATGGCCAAGGCTGAATGCTCCAGGGCTTTGAACGCGGAAGCATAGCAGTCCGGGAGCTTGGTATATTTGTCAACTAGAGCTATGGATCATGTCTTCTGTAACTTTTCATATCTGTCAGCCATATTTTTCCACTTGTAAAGCAAATTACTTGGAAAATCACCAGTTGGCAGGTGCAGTCTCTCCTTAAAATATTTAACAACACCTTGTTCCTCCAGCAGCACAGGCACTTGGTATGTGGAATAAACATTTTGGGTACATATGACCTGTTCAGGGTTCACATGACAAAACATAGAAATCTTCTCCTTCACAGCCATCTCAACAGGCATTGCGCTTCGGCAGATAATCAGATCCGGAGACAGACCTAACCCCCTCAGCGCGCAGACACTGTTTTGTGTGTGGGTTTGGTTTTCTGCTCCCAAGTAGAACTAGGCTGTGGGACAAGGCTTACATGGATATTACAAAAATTCTCTCTTTTCACCTTAAACTGGAATTGTCTGAATGCTTCCGCAAATGCCATTCCTTCAATATCTCCATTGGTACCTCCCAACTCAATAACACATATTTGAGGCTGTTCCTGATAGCCTCCACAGGCACCTTGGCTTGATTCATGACCCACTCTGGATCACATCAGTAATGTGAGGGACAACTTGCACTGTATTCCCCATGAAATCACCACGCCTCTCTTTATTGATCACATGCTGATATATCTTCCCAGTAGTGATGTTGTTGTCTTTATAAAGGTTAATATCCAAAAATCTTTCATAATTTCCAAGGTCTACATCAACTTCTCCACCATCATTTAAGACTAACACTTCACGATGTTCATAAGGTGAAAAAGTGCCTGCATCGATGTTAATATAAGGGTTGATTTTGATGGCGGTAACCTGGAGTCCACATGACTTCAGAATTGTCCCAATGCTGCTGGCGATGATCCCTTTACCAATGCCAGAGATGACTCCACCTGTGACCAGGATGTACTTCCTTGGCATAGCAGTGGCTGGAGTGCCACCAGCCAGATATGATCTTTCTGGTGTGAGGGGTGATGGCCGGCGGGGATGGAACAACATACCAATTCTTAAAAAAGCAGATAAAATATGCTTTTTGACCAAGATAAAATTAAATTATAAATCAATAACAGAAAAATATCTGAGAAAATTTCAAGTACTTGAAAGATAACTTGTGGGTCAAACAAGAAGACTCGAGAAAACTTAAAAAATATTACATTTTGAACTAAATGGAAATAAAAACACAACAAATTTGCAAGACACTAAAGAAGTTCTGAAATTTATAGCATTCTGAAATTTATAGCATTCTAATATGTATATTAGAATAGAACAGAAAATTAACAATATGAACTTCCACCTTAGGAAACTATTAAAAGAAGATAAATTTAAGCCTAGAGGTAGCAGAAGAAAAGAAACAATAAAAATTAGAGGGGAAATTAATGAAATTGAAAACTAAAAGCCAACAGATAAAATGAAAGAAACTAAAATCTGGTTCTTTAAAAAGATAAGTAAAATTTATAAATATCTAGCCAGGCTATTGAGAATCAAAAGAGAAATAATATAAATTATTGAAATCAGAAATGAAAGACTCTGATTCTGGGGACATTAAAAAGGTGTAAAAACCCATAAACAACTCTAGTCCCAGAAATTTGATAACTTAGATAAAATGAACAGATTCCTCCAAAGACCAAAGCAACCAAAAACTCACAAAAGGAGAAACAAGTAAACTAATTGAGCATATAATAAATTTAAATTGTTAAAGAAATTTAATAAATAATTAATATTCTTCAAGAGAAAAAGTACCAGAGGCCCAGAAGTTTTACCTGGGAAATTCTACCCAAGATTTTGTAAAGAGGAGGAAGAAAATTTTAAGAATGCAAATGATTATAGGCACCTTGGTAAAAATTTTAGGTCTAGGAATCAAATCTGTCAAACAAAACCAAAAGTGGGAGTGTGACTGGCCTGGGTACTGACGAGCTCGTATTATATAAAGGAGTGTGTGTTTACTTTTTATTTATTTATTATTTTCATTAGGACTTAATTTTAATTAAAATTAACAATTTAGATGAAGAAAAGGACTAGAGGAATATTCGTGAAAACTTCTGATTAATCACATTTATATAAAGGAAATGAAACTGGCCAGCAGAAATCCAAAAAAGAGGCAGGTTACATTATTGCACTTGGACGAAATATGCTTCTTATGGTAGCATAATGCTCAGGCCATGCCAGGTCAGGAAGAAAAGGCAAAACAAAAGTACAGATCTCCAGGTAACTTTGATTCTGGATTCCAAACCCTCTAGTAGCCTTGAAAGTATTTAGAATATTGGAAACATTCAACATGGTCTTCACAAGTATGAGTCTTTGTACTCATCGGAGTACTTTGTCCCAGTCACGTGCAAGTTCAATGTGTAGTTCTTCTCAAGTAATGAGACATCTGTAACACCAAAACATCCCAGTGCCCAGGGTCAAGGACAAGAGAGCAAAGGAGTGTATTTCTACTTTCCATAGTTAGGGAACAATACTGTAGCTATCATTTACCTTTCTGAGCACTCTTGATTTTGATCATTTATATCAGAACTTGAGAAAAAGTGACAATGAATATGAATGAGGATTCATCTAATTCCTAGGCTGCTACTTGAAAATAAAATAAAATTTAAAAACAAATCCCTTACTGTATTCATGAAGGTGGCAATAACAGTATGTATAAGAAAAAGGCTATAAACTTATGGAAAAGATAAACTCTGACTTCTAAAAAAAATTACAAAATTCACTTTGTCTTTCACCTTGAGTGTTATATGGAAAAATATAAACCTGTGGACCTAGTTACCAGAAAACATTTATCCTCCTAAGCCAACTATGACCTTACAATTTGGCCTGAGCTAGTTTTATCTTCAAGTTTTCTCCAAGTTTGTCCATAAATTTGGATGTATTCAGGTAGTCAGAACATTGTGCATTAGGTAAACCTTTAATGGAAATGGCCAAGTCCTTGGTCATAAAGTCAATCTCAATGGTATCAATACAGACTTCTTCCAATGCCTTTGCCAAGTAGTCAAGTTCTTTATTGTTATCAAGCTTTGCTCTATGGGCTAACCCTCTGGTCCAGGCCAAAATGGAGCAGTTTGATTAGTGGATGTCTCCTATCCTTTGTGGTACATGGTAGTGGTGGGTTACAGTCCCATGGGCTGCCTCTTCTTCTACTGTCTTGCCATCTGGACAAACCAACAGACTGGTCATTATGCCAAGAGAGCCATAACCTTGGGCCACAGAGTCCAACTGCACATCACCATCACAGTGCTTGCAGGCCCAGATGAAGCCTCCCTCTGATTTCATAGCTTGGGCCAACATGTCATCAAAGAACCTACGCTTATACCAGATCTTCTGGGCTTCAACTTGGAATTTGTACTGCTTGTCATATATCCCCTGAAAGATTTCTTTAAAACATCCCTCATATTTCTTCAGAATAGTGTTTTTAGTACTCAGATACAAAGACCAACCGTTATACAGAGCCATTTGGAAGGAACTATGCACAAAATCTTGGATTGACTTAGCTTGATTATAGATACCCATTACAACACCACCACCACCTTCAAAGTTATGCACTATGTATGTCACCTTTGGGGTTCTATCACTTGATGTATAAGTTGTCTCTACTTTTCCAGGCCTGGGAACAACAAAATTGGTTGTTCTGTATTGGTCCCCAAAAGCATGTTGACCTATGATGGTGGGTTTCACCTGTCCACTCACAAGCCTGGGGATATTTTAGCAGACATTAGCTTCCCTGAAGACAGTGCCACCCAAGATATTTTGGATGGTGCCATTCAGTGATTTCCACATTTGTTTCAACTTGGACTTCTTAACCCTCTTCTCATTAGGGGTGATAATAGCAATGACCCCAATGTTGTATTCTTTATGGCCTCTGTAGCATCCTTGGTGACTTGGTCACTGGTGGCATCGTGATTCTCTATGCCTAAATTGTGGCTATGTAGATCTAGTTCCACATAGGGAAAATGAGTTTTTATTTTATCAAATCCCAAATGATTTATGTCATTTCAACTCCTTGCATTTCTTCCATGGAACCCCACTGATGGTTATGGACATTTTGGCTTCAATAACCCTTAGCAGTGAATCAATTTCTAGTCACCCCAACTGACCTCTTGCAGTCTCAACTGAATGCGGTTTATGTCCTGCCAGGGAAGGTACACTGGAGAAGTGTGGGTCAAACTCACACACACACAGGCAGGCAATCCTAACTGGGCCCAAGCTCCTGAGGAGTGTATGTTTAAAGGCAACAGAAAAAGTAGAAAAAGTGGAAATACTTTCTATAATCCAGAAATTCATTCCTTTTGAAAGGGATATAATTTCGTCATTGTTTTTCTGACTTTTTTTAATCAGTTAGTTCAATCTTATGAGTTTTATATCATGTATGTAAATTTAGCTAGTTGATAATGGTTTAATGACTAAATGACAATGTTCCCTGAATGTTGCACACATATGCCCACACACACACGTTTACCTTCAGTGTTTAAAATCCCTCCATCCTACACATCTCTATGGTAGAGTTTTCTGGTTTTGTTAAATGTTTTTTTACTACATGTATTCTATTTTTAGGATGACACATATAAGCAAATATACTTGATGAAGTTGCTTTTTAAAATCAATACTTGAATTTTTACATTATAAAAAGCCATGTATGGTAATTTAAGTGGCAGAAAAAGGGAAATTTAGCTGTCTGTAGCAAATTGTAGGTTTGTAGATTGAAGTAACATTATAATCCATGGGCTGTGTTTATTGCTGTGGTTTAGATATTTATATAATGGAATTACAGTGCTTCTTGAGCACAGGATGTTTAAACCAATGATATGACGGCAAGGAGAATTTATATTACCATGACCTATATTTACTTAATATGTCTTGATGTTATAAGCCTTGCGTCATCATTGAGAAAGTTGGCCTAAGCCCTTGCAATACAGTGGTTCATTCCCAGATAATTTTTTAATGAATAAACTTTTATGGTGACAAAAGCAGAGGAGTTCATGGGCAAAGCTCTCAAAGAAGATTCTTTCCTCAATGTAATTGGCCTCAGCAACAGATAAGCAACACAGAAAAAACTCCTGCCAGTAGACTTTCTTCTTGAAGATACAGATAATGAGTCCTCCTGAGTGAAGGGGAATGGGGAATGACAACGGCATTTTTTGTTCTATTTTCAGTTACTGTTGGAGTACCTTCCCTGTGTCTTCATTGGCATTTTCATGAGAAATAGAGGGAGACTAGGAATGTTTTCTACTGTAAGGAAAGGACAGCCTTTGTCTTATTAACACAAAGTACAGAGAGAAACAGTTCCAGGGTTGTTTTAGTAGCTCAATGATAGTGTCACAGGCATAGAGTCTGTTGTTCCTTCTTTGTTACTATGCTAACTTTCATTCTATGGCACAAAGTAAGTGCCATAGATCCAGGCATCAAACTCTCATATTTACAGTGTCCAAACTGAAAAAAGGAGGCAGCCAGGAAGAGAAGGGCATTATATCACATAGTTCCCTCCTTTAGTCAAGGAGAAAATTTATTTCCTCATTGTACTTCTTATTTTGGCCAACCTTATAGCCAAGGTCTTACTTTCTAGATGTTCACACCCAGATCAGTCATAGTGGAATGGGATAACCATTTATGCTTATCACCTGGACTTAGCACGCTCAGAGTTATTTAAGAAAAAAGACCTAATGACATCAGGTAAGCAAAGAAGAACATCCATTGCCAGTGACACTATAGCTGTTTTTCATGCACCATTTTGAACAAAAGTACTCACATGTGTTTTTCAAAATTGCATTCTCCGACATGTGTTATGTGTCAGATGTAGGTCAACAGAAGTCTTTTTGTTTGAAGAGGACAAAAAATAAACAACTTATTTATTTCCTAATACTTTGAGTGTACAGAAATAAAAATTAACCATATATATTTTTAATGGAAGGCTCGTAAGTGAGGTCACATATTGGAATGTAAACTTGCTCCAGCTAAGTGAGTACTCAAAATGAAGATGACCTTGGAGTACATGTTTTCAATTTTCCAAT